AAATCTTGTAAACATTGATTTATCAGAGGAACAAAAAGAGATTTTCAAATACAATTTTAACTTCCCACAATCCTCAAAATCTTCAATTTCAAAGATTTTTAACTCCCTTGAAAAAGCTTTCAGTGGAAGTTTCAGAAACACAGAAAAAAACGATTATACATCTTATTGCCCATAATGTGAAATATAAGAATAAATCTTTAAACCCTAACCTAAATCTGAGAGAGAAAGCTATGTTATGCGAAATTCATTCCAACCCAAACACTGTCATTTCAAAAGACGACAAATGGACGACAATGGACAAAACAACTTACCCCAAAGGTATCATTAAACTCTTAAACAAGACTTGTGTTATTTGATCCCAAAATATCCTCCACCTTCAGACCTCACAAAAATAAAAGCTGTGATTAAGTCTTTATAAATCCTTCCAACTCACAAAAACTGCTTTTCCCATTTGTTGCAAATTATGATAGACTATATGCTCTTCCCAAAATTCATAAAAGTGGTATCTCATTCTGACCCACTGTGTCGAATTCAGGCACTACTTCTTATTAGCTAAATATTTAGTTACTAAATTTTCAGCTTTGGTAGTTGATAACACTTACAAAATAAAAATTTAGGGATTTATAAATATATAACAAAATAAAAATTCAAGAATTTATGAATATATTACAAAATATTTCTCCTGGAAATTTCATTTTGTTTTCTTTCGATGTTAAGTCATTATTCCCAATGTTCCAGTACTATGTATGCTCAAAAACTAGATTTACAGAATTTCATTTTTTATACAGCATAACTGAGGAGTTAATTTTCTTTACTCAACTTCATTTGAAACAAATTTTGTTTAAAAATAAGTATTATCATCAGACTGAGAGCTTAGCCATAAAAAGCCCTCCCAGTTTTATTCTTGCTGATATATACATGTGCATTATTATGAAGCCATATTATTTTAAATGTTAAACTTCCTTGTTTGATTATGTTATGCTGATGGTACCTTTACTATGTCTGACAGTAATAAAAATTTAAATAAAGTCTTTCAATAACGAATTCCTTTGATCCAGCTATTCATTTCACTTTCGAAGTTGACACATCAAACTCCCTTCAATTTCTTGACATATTGGTCATATGAAAATTAATCTAATGTTAGTACTACATTATACCATAAACCTTCATCTGTTTGCCTATCAGCATACATCAAATTCTGTCATTCAACTTAACAGAAATTATGCTTCCTTTCATTATTTCATTTTCCGAGCACTCCAAGTCGGATCTTGATTAAGAATTATATAACTCAAAAACATTTGCTATTGACAGAGGCTTTTCACTCAGTATTATGGACTAAGCAGTTAAAAAATTCTCCTTTCAACACAAGCAATCTCTCGTTTTAGGTGATTATAAGAATTTTGTAGCCATTCCTCGCTTTGCATATATTGAACAGCATGCATTTTACAAAAGTTTAACTTTTGAGTCTTTTTTTTTTTTTTTTTTTTTTCTTCTATCAGTGAAATTCCCAATTCTATACATTAAGATCCCATTCTGGATAGAAGTTCCTGGAGTATATACCATTGTGGCTTAATATACATCAGTCAAACTAAGAGTGTCTTAAAACTTCAGTATGAAGCATATGTTAGGGGGGGGAAACATAAAAATTCCAACACTATTTATCAAAAAATCATATTTTCCAGTTTTTTCACAGCTAAAATTATTCAGAAAACATCTTCTGTTCATGAACTAGATTTTCTGAAAGTGTTTCACATTTATAAAAATCTTTCAAGCCTGGTTAATTGTCCAAATTCTAATAAAATTTTCCCTCAGCTTTTTTCATCTATTCATGGGAAAAAAAAATAAATAAATAAATAAATAAATAAATAAATTCTTAATTGATTTAATTTTTTATTAATTAATAGCGCCAATATACGTGTTTTCCCTTTTTTGATGGAAATTTCACAAATTTTCTAGTCTATTGTTTTCATTGATATCACACAAGCACAGGCTCATCTTTCGTCATTCGTTCACTTTGCAACTGGAGAAGAAAGCAATTAAACCTTTTTCAATCAAACCTTTGAAACTACTACTACATATTTATAAAAATTATTGCTAATTCTTACTGTTTGAATTCTCTAAGAATTATTATGTGGCATGTTATTTTTATTTTACTAAGTTAAATTGTTATTTAAAATTTTATATAAATCATATTTTAACTCATATATCAGTTTATTCAAAAAGTTCCAGAACCTTAATAACACATCAACACAATTTTACATGGATATGAAAAAGGCAGTGTTGCTTACTACATGGCCTTGGCATTAAACCTCTTATTTACTATGTTCCTTAAGTCATAATGTTACAAGGACTAATCAGAATAGGGAACTTTGCTCTATTTAAGAGCTTATAGTGCTTATCCTCTGATTTTCAAAATATGACAAGTCATAAATAATATGTTAACATTTAAGAGCTTATAGTGCATATCCTGTGATTTTCAAAATATGAAAAGTCATGAATAACATATTTACATCAACTAGAAAGTCATAAATAACATATTAACATCAAACAAAAACTAACACTGCTAGAGACTCAAATGATTAAACAAGTTCACGGAAATCAGTAAAGTATATTGTTATAATAAATTTAAGACTTTCAAATGCCACAATAAACTGCTAATAGCACAATTTAATCTTAGATAGGCAATAGTACCTTGACCCTATAAGGTATTTCTCCCACCTTCCTAGCATGCCTAGTGCCTATTAAACATGAACAGGAGTGATATGTCAGCAAAATCTTAAAATATAAATCTTATTCAAAGATTTGAAGATACAAATTTAATTAACTTTTATTCTTTTTTCTAATAAACTTTTGTTCATGTTTTGGCTAACAGTTTCGATTTTTCACTGATATATATATATTTAGTCCACAAAATCCTCTATATAAAGAAATCAGTGAAATATGCTTGATATAGAAAAATAGCAGAATAATGTTTGTTTAACATTTAATACTACTTTATTAGCATTTTAAAATCTGATTATCATCTTATTGCATTTTAAATTTTTATTGCATTAATTATATTTGAATATAAATTTAATTATGATGGGTTAAAAAACTGCTTTTATGGTAAAGGGTGTTTTTCAGCGACCTAAGGGTAAAATTGTGCACATTGGTAATTCATCTTGGAGTCAAGCCTCGGCTAACGGGCTTCCCTCTCCTTAATCAAATAGCCCGGGAGTGCTTTTCATATTCTAAATAATCCTAATCCTATTTATACATGGACATAATTAGAAAAAGGCATTTGGTTAGGTTAAACAAATGATATATTTAACAAATTAGATTTCATAAATTAAAAAGAAAAAATATATATATATTCCTATTATTAAAAGTACAATGAATTTATTTAGAAATTAATTCCTGTTTGTTATGGCCAGACTCCCATTTATTTAAATATTACGTAGAAGATTTTTTAAAAATTTCATTCTAATTAGAAATTATCTCAATACAAGCTATAAGTTAGAAAAACAGTATATTTTATTCTATAAAAATAAAATCATTTTATTCTGATTAGAATTGTAATTAATTTATTTAAGTCTATAATTAAAATACTAAATAAATTTTTTAATTTAATTTATCGTTTCGGCTCATCCACTGTTATTCATTCTCTTACTCACCTCAGACATACTCAAATGATGGTACCCACAGCAAAATAATAGCAAGTTCAAATTCAAAGACCATACTATGCACATGCAAGAAAACACAGCAACTGAAAAGAATAGTAAGAACCAAAAACTTAGGTCCATACGAAAGGGTTATGTTACAAAAAAGAGCGGCAGCCTTCCAGATTTCATGAACAACCAATACCGCTTGGCAATTTTTTCAGATAAAAACAAGGGGTACCATATAATAAAGATTAGCCCATATTTTGTAACTTTCTTGTATAAAAATAAAATTATCTTATTCTAATTACAGGTGTATTTAATTGTAATAATTATAGTTGAATATAAATTTGATTATGATGGGTTAAAAAACTGCTTTTATGGTAAAAGGTGTTTTTCAGCGACCTAAGGGTAAAACTGTTGCACATTGGCAATTCATCTTGGAGTCAAGCCCCAGCATAATTAAACAGCGAATTCAAAACATCTGCTGACAAAGTTATGTGATCATCAGCACAAAGATTTATCTGCAAAGTCATCCCACCCAATGCAATGTATACATATAGAAAGAAAATGTCCCTATCTTAAGTTAGCTAAGCTAGCAACATAAGCACTCTTCCCACTGTTTGGCGCCTATCGCCCAAGCTGGCAAACACGATTTAAGGAACCTCGCCAAGTGCCAGTTATCTGAGTATCTCCTTGTCAACTTTTTTCGTAAACTTTCTTCATAAAGTAAAATTTTATTCAAGTTTTTCTACCTTTTATTTTTAGTTCTGCGTTAAATATTACATATATATTAACATAGTGCAAGTGTTATATTTTATGAATGTCATTGGTTTTGCATTATGAACTTGCATCAAAATACTCTTTCCCTAAGTAATCGCTTGGGATCTGGGAATGGTTTAATTCATCTTACATTAGTTTCTACGGGAAAAATTGTTTCAATTTATATATACTTCAGATGGTGAACGAATTAAATTCATAAACCAAAGTTTCACTGTCTATTACAGTTTATGACTAACACCTAGATGTATGTTACAAAAATTATGATCACTTTGCATTTAAAAGCTATAATGAATGATAATAGTATGACCACATTCATCTGTAAAAACACATATTCACAAATATAACAAAATCATTCTTGAAAAACTGATGATGATAAGATTATGAGAATATCAGCAATTTTGTGAATAACATTCATTGCAATGCATTACAAGTCCTAACACAGAAGAAAAATTCATCTCGTATACATACTATGAACTTTAATAACAAACTATATGAATGGCACTTTGAAATCAGGATTTTAAAAACATCATTTTTAAAAAACACATTAAATGTAAATTTAAGTCTTTGAAATTTAATCACCCTTAAAGGAATATTTCCAACAAAAATTCTTCGTTTTAAGCTATTTGAAGGTGTCTCCCTTTCTTGTTCTAATCGTTCTAAGCGACTTTCAAGGCTGGGACGAGCAGTTGAAAAACATGCTGGTGCTTCTTCGTCAATTTCATCATCAGGGGAGGACAGCTGAAGCCCAGAATTAAATACATTGAACCCAATATCTGGTTCAGAAACCCTGGACTCAAACAGTCTGCACTTCCTTGGTGACGGAGTCCGGCAGAGCCTCTCTCGAAGGGCTTGCTCTGAAAACCGTCCATTTTCTCTGATTGGTGTCGACACTGGAGTGGCAGGTAAACTTGATCGATAAAATGCCCCTGGTGGATTTCCAGGAAGGCTTACTGCATTGAAACCCATAAATGATTCTGTATGAAGTTTATAAAGATAACTAAAACGAAAGCCCAACATTTTCCGACTGTAATTTTGATTATTTTGTCTTCATTATTTTGTACACACCTAGGAAATAACATAACATGTCTTAGTAAATAATTATAAGCAAAACAGATGAACTAATATTTTAAACTACTGTATATATACATTTGAATTAAAACATATGAATACTAAAAAAAAAAAAAAAAAAAAAAACTGAAATGCAAATAGTTACTATAAAAAATAATTTTCACACAATTGATACTACTAATAAAGGGAAGATGATAATATGGAAATACTAGTCATATGAAAGATGCAGTAAAGACAAACTGTACATCAAACTGAACACTGATAATCAATAAAACTGAATACTGTCCAGCAATATAAATTGTTCAATGAATTTTGAAAGACAAATTGGCAATATCCTTTTATTTGAAATTAATGTTAAAATGTTGAATTTTGCTAATTATGTACTCGATAAATTAAAATGATGCTGACTTTTTATCAGCAATCTAAATATCATTGATATGATAAAATTATAAAAGTCTCAAATAAAACAATTTATTCTACATCTTTGTCTCAAAACACCTATTTCTGCAAGTGCTAAAGGTGGAGTGAATTATGCTTATATCTGCTTCTGAAGAATTTCTATAAAATATTTTAAAACACTGAAGCCTGACAAATGAATACGCAAGGTTAAATGTTTAACTTCACCCTTATGCTCATTAAACTAGCTCAGTATTCATTTATTTTTCTTGCATGGATGGTAACATCACTGCTAAATTTTCAGGTAATCACTGTTTATTGTATATTGATGTGAATGGTATCAGTAATAATTAATATATAATAATAAAAGCATAATTTAAAAACTATAAACAAACAGAGATAGTGGAATAGCAATTGATTCACCATTATTTTTATTAGCAAGAGTGCTGAAGCAATGGCATCAGCAAAAGTTTACTCTCATTTTTATATCATTGCTTAGAAATTTTAATGTATGGTGTCAGTTTTATTTGGTAAATACAATTTAATATCTTTTAATATTAAAAAGTAATGTGAAAAATTAATTTTATTGCAGTACTTTGCACAGTACTCTGCTATTTTTCACAATTAATTTCCCAAATGAATTAATTACTTCCAGGTATGGGTACTTTGCATCACATTACCAAATTAAAAAATACTTCCATAGTTATATAAGATTTTTAATTATTATAATTTTACAAATGGTTTATTACTTTAATATTGAATTTTTTCCTGTGTTTTCCTTTATGTAAACTTCTGAATATTTCCAAGTTTATAATTAGATCTTTTTTGCCATAAATTATGTCACATTTTTATATATAACATATTTAAGATGTGTTATTAAAGTAACCCAATTTTTCTTATTAAGAGATTTAGTTAGAGAAAATATTTCTTACTTTAAATTAGGTTTTTTGAATATGGCAATACACACTACATTTGTCTGCCTTCCTAAGCGGAGGGGGCCTTCGTGGAGAATTTTTTAAGGGAAACTAGTTTGTATTCATATTACATTTTAAAGAAAACCAATCATGAAAAAATATTTATTAATTAACAGATTAAAAGAATACAATTATAGTTAAATTTTTATATAATATTTTAATTATTAAATTATGAAATATGCAAATAAGGAAATTGCATCTTATCGGTACTATACATGAAGGAAGTTAAAATCTTACTAGTCGCAAAACAGGTACAGGTACAACGTACCAAAAGTACAGGTTACTTCATTTAATAAAGTAACTGAATTAACCCCATTGTAGAAAATTTTATAAATGTACTGAAAATTATTACAAGTTGAACTACATATTTAAAGCCACTCTGATAAACTTTATCAAAAATAATAATTTTATTTTAAATGAGTGTATTTCAGTTTTGCAAAAAACATACTTTGTTATTTAAAATTTAAAAATTACATCTAACTTTCTAATTATGTCTAGTTTAATAATTATTTAACCTAATCACATCTAGTTTTGTTTTGATGTATCATTTGAAGAAATGGAAAATGAAAATATATAAATTTCTGCAATCATATTTAAAAAGACCAGGAAATTTGCATAATATAAAACAATAATCCACTGGAGTCTTTGCCACCACCCAGCAGGAGAAAAATTGACCTTATGGGAAAATATAACTTCATGGAATTCTTTTTATTGGGGCAAACCTCATGTTCTTTGCCATATTCAAACAAATAAATTTCTATTGCAAATTTGTTTATAGCATAAAGACAATTCCTAGAGAGTTGGTTGGTCCGGATAATTGTGCTGCCTTTTACTGTAGGACAAATAAATATTTCTTTAAATGTAATAGAAGGAGTTTTATATTTTCTTTCTCTTTTTTAATTTTTTATTTTAACAAAAGTTATAAATTTATGTAGTTGAGAATGAAATAATTTGTTGCCCATAAAACAATATAAAATATGTCTTTCTTTTTCCCCCGAGAAAATTAAGTAATGGAATTACTTTTACTTTCATAAATACAGCCAAGTTCCATTTGAACTAAGATAAATAAATGAAATTATGTTTTTATTACTGACAAGTGCTTGACTCGTCCAAAATCGGTACAACTCTGTGTTGTACAAATTCATCTAAAATTAAATTAACAACTTTCTAAAAGTATGCACTGTAAAATAATGCATTCTGTTGCTATCTTCATATTAATTAAATCACAGCAAAAAATTTAAATCATATAAAAGACGAAATTAATTAAAAAAAATAGAAATAGTAAATAATCCACATAACTAGAACTTTCGATATCTTATTTCGGGTAACTGGAACTCTTCTCTGTTTTCATATTATTAACAAGAATGTGTGCATCTCATGTTACCTTACTTTCACTTCAAAACATATTTTCTGAATCCTCATCTTTGCTCTGTAAAATTATATAAAAATAATTCCAAATGCAAGTTAAAAAATGGCTCCAATTTCATTCTGTATTTGAATAGTAGACAATCTTACTTGATTTTATCGCACTCCTACAAATCTCATGCATTTCTGATATTTTTCTTGACACTAATCATTTCACTCTTAACCTTCCAGCATACGCGCTTAGCAATTTTACATGAGCACGTGCGCGTCGTATGTTTTATGACATCCGTTATTTTACCTTTTTGGGGACGAAAAACGACAGAAATGAGTGAATATTGATAATAAATTTGTTAATAAAATATTAGTCTTATTATTGCAAAATACAAATGATATCACATTCAAATATAAGTAAATTATTTTTAAGTTCTTATGTTAGTGAGTGACGTATTTCATTATAGAAAATTTTAAATTTAGTATTTAATAATAATATTTTAAATTGAAGCTAATTTTAATATTTATCAGAGATAAGTATAAACAATAAAAAAGGAAAACACCTTGGTAGGAGAAAAAGTAAGTTTATCTTTACTTACTTCTGCAAGGAAATTTACTTCTTACTGGCTACAAAAACATATTTTAAACTAACTTTAATGTTTTTATTTATTTCTAAAAAATAGAAATAAAAGAAAATAAGGAATGAAAATCGCTATTGTTCTCCCATCCAAAGGTTTCCTTGTCTTCATCAGATAATTCTTGAAGAATCCGAGCAAAATCAGCTGGTTGCACATATTTTTTTGCCATGAAAACCGATATAAAATTTACAGAGCCAAATGTATTCAAATTAAAATAATATACGGCAATTAATAACACAAAATTACAAAACATTTGAGAAAAAAAATATTTTCCGAATTTTAAAACACAGCAACGCACGTGTTGTAACTTTTATGCAAAAGCTCCCACGTAGCACAAAAGCCCAGTTAAAAAACAAAAAAAGTCAAATGAGTTCCTGTTGGCACATTACATGATGTGGAGAAGGGTAGAAAGGAGGAATAGAAATGACATTCGATATGCGAAAAATGTGCATTAACTGAATTTGTCATAAATTTTGTGCATACGCACGTGCTGGAAGGTTAATGCATTGCATTCTCAATAATATATTAATTATTACTGCTATCATTCATGTCAGTACATAAATGTTTACTTTCCATACATGTTGATTAAAATATGGAATTTATGGTCAAAGTTTCATTCAGTTTATGTATGAGCAATTAAATTATAACAGTTCTTAATTTTCCATAACCCAGCTTTAGTAACAATAATTGTTTTATGAACTGGAATTATTAGTTCATGCAAATTTTTTATGCTTTTGTATATTAAACAGTATTAAATTTAAATTTTACTGTTAACAGAGCAGCAAAATACATTTAGGAAATGCTGAAACATTTAAAACAAGTGATTCATATTCATTAGCTAACGAAACATATTACATGATATTTTTACTTAATGCAATGATTTAAATATACTGAAGATCTGCAGTGTAAGAAAGTTATTTTAAATTCATAGTTTAAAAATCACAAAAAATTGTTATTTGTGTATGGAGAAAAAACGGTATGCGAGAATACATGATTCATATAACTAAATATAAATTTTCAGTAATTTCATTTCCAGAGCCCTGTTTTTGTACCCATAACTCTTTGCTCAATATTACAGATTAAGCAACAAATCATTAATTTCAAAACTAAGACTATAGTAAAAGATTTACAAAAGCTTTTTATTAAAAACAAAACATTTTGTTATACAATAAAACCTTCAAATAGATAATCATCGTATATATTTAGTATTAATACAGTTTTTCTTTCATCTAATTCTCAAATTAAGGGGCATTTTCTCGCTCCTTTCAGCATGCCTTTGTGATGTAATTGGAAGCATAGTTTGACGCATATTCGAAAGGTCTAGAGTTCTAGTCCCGGCAACCTTAAGTCACTGTGGCACAGAGATCATCAGAGTATAATATGTTTGCAGTGTCACAGTGATATCGCCATGCTGTTGGGAAGGGCAGTAAATTTTTACTATATATTGACAAGAGCCTTATAAACATTTTGATCATAAAAGTACTACTGTTGTTGTCACTGAAAAAGAATACCTGAATTACAAAAATGGATGAACAATAATTAACTGTTTCATAAAATGCCTACTTAAATATATTTTACAAGAGCTTTCTTTTTCTCTCTAAATTTAAAAAGCAAAGTAATTTTTTTCTAATAC